AATCCTATAAGGTAATCCCAAAAAAGAACTACCATGGGGCCTATGGGTAGTTACCTGCCCTAAACCCTATAAACCCTAAACCCTAAACCCTAAACCCTAAACCCTAAACCCTAAGGAGAGGCCCGGTTCAGGTTTGCCGTGTTTCGGGCTGAGGATTGGCAGGGCGTTAATGTAGGGGCCTCTATGATTAGAATTGGGTTTAGGGCTCCTTTGTAGTATAAGAAAGAATAAGGAATCCTAAGAATCCTAAGAACAACATGGGTAATTATTTAGGCTTCTATGTTTGCGCAAGAAGAGCATATTTCCTGGACACAGGCGCCTAGGCGCCTGACTACTATAGCCGATCCAAACCCAAAACACGCACGATGTAGGGCTCTGAAAGTACGGAACACGATGGAGATGACATGAGGGTACCTTTGGATATTTTATTGATGACACAGACCTCTATACTACCTCGAAGCCCACTCCGGCCTGGTGACATCCATCTCTAGGTCGACATCCTCTGGGCCCATCAGAGCGAGATTCAGCGGTTTGGGTGGTGGCCCTGCTGCTGGCGTCTTTGGCGGCGGCTTCTCTTTGGGCTTGGGCTTCGGCCTGACCCAGGATTTCACTTTCGCACCGACTCTTGCCGCCTTGTCCAACCTCCACGGCACCTCAATCGCGACAAGGAGCGAGGATGTAGGAAGGTGTGGTGAAGGGCTTTGAATAATTGGGCTCTGATGCTCACGGTTGACAGCTAGCCCAAGCCTCCGCACTGTACTGCTAATGCCACATCTTGCAATCTGCAGCATTGCATTTGGGATCTCAAAAATGGTGGCTGGGGACTGTAGCTAACAAGCTTGTTGCGAAGATGGGCCTGGACTTCCTCCTTGGGTTCCGGTGCAGGCTCGAGCGATGCCGGCGGCTTGGGCAGTGGAGGGGGAGGAGGAGGACCATCCTTAGGAGCTCAGCCGCACAAACCATGCAACTGCACGAACCTAACCTGGGGCCTCAATGAGGGGAACAGAGTGTTGGGGTAGATTATGGTACACTTATATAGGGGCTAGAAGGCGGTATGATAAGCAGTAAGTTGGACCGCCAGGTTATGCGTGCTTGTGAGCTGTCAACTGGAGTCTGGGTCTTAGGGAAGACGGGACAAAGATCTACTCTCAGGGTGGGGGGGGGGTCTGAGAATTTTTTTTAGCAGATTTTGAGTTTAGGGTTTGGGTTTAGGGTTTAGGATTCGGGTTCAGGGTTTAGGGTTTGAGTTTAGCGTTTAGGGTCTAGGATGCATACATGGCGGTTGCAACTGACTACTTCTGGCTACCGGCACCACCTCTGCTCATCGCAATGTGGACTGGAGATGAGGGATCAACAGCTCTGGTCCTCTCTGCGACTGTGGTCTCTCAAGCTTTTCGAGTCAGTGTAGCTGAACACAAAAACACACAAGCATCCCCCAGTCCCTCATGAGGTCCGCGAAGGGAGAAAAAGAACAAAATGCAACCTGCATAACTCGAAAAGACCAACAGCAGTCCTGAATACAACTGTAACCAAACTGTAACCCTACAAATACGCGCACGCACATGCATGCACACACACACACACACACTCACGCTCTCTCTCCCTCTCTCTCTCTCTCTCTGTATGCGTGTGTGTGTGTATAAATATATATATATATATATATATATATATACATATATACACACAAGATAATAAAGTATAAATATGCACACACACACACGCAGGGAAGGCCGAGTCTCCTTGGCAGGCACTGCCTTTACCGGCGCCTTTGGAGGTGGAGGCCGATGCACTGCCGGACTGGGACCTATGAAGGGGAGCACGAACTGCTTGAAACATTACGTCTGTAGGTAGGTAGGTAGGTAGGTAGGTAGGTAGGTAGGTAGGTAGGTCGGTCGGTCGGTCGGTCGGTCGGTCGGTCGGTCGGTCGGTCGGTCGGTCGGTAGAGAGAGAGCGAGATATGGATATGGACATGGATATGCGTGTGTAGATGTGTATGCACAAGGGATTTGATACGCCCATGTTCCTGACTATGAAGAAATGGCCGGCGTGGGTCTTTGCCCAGACAACATTAGTTAAACAATATGGGAGTTGTGAGCTAACAGTAGGGTGAACATTTTAAAGGTCTAAAGGCCTTAGTAAGTAAGGTTACAATTACGATAACCCTACTTAGGGCACTTCTTACCCCGTCATAACCCTGCTTACTAAGCCCCGTGAGCCATTAAGAAGGGTTTTACAGTGCTGCCTTTGATTAATTGAGGCCTTGCCACATGTGTGCGCCTCCTTGCCAGCTGGGAATCTATGGTACGGTCCGCGGTCTAGTCCCAGGCTTTATATTAGGGTTTGCAGGGTTTCAGGTTCAGGGCTCAATTCGGGCTCAGATGTAGAAGAAGGAAGCAGACAGCAACTAGGCTCCCCGATTCAATTCCTTAAGCCTGAAACCCTGCAACCCGATATAAGGGCCCAAACTCTATTGTAACTATTAAGGCCCCTACATTAAACTCTAAACCCTGGCCTGGACCGGCAGGGACCGGAACAGGCATCGGGGCAGGCGGCAACTCGACAGCTGGAGCTTCGACTTCGGCAGGGGCTTCGTCACCTGGGTTGCACGGAAGTTGTTGCGTTGTAAGAGACCGCTTAGGATCATCTTTGGTGTTTTTTTAGTTGTCCGGTGACTTCTGTGTCGCTTGGTGTGACCTCCTAAGTCTTTGATTGTGGTGGACTGTTTGCTGCTACGGGCCGCCTGAAGCATCCCATTCCATGGCAGCTCTCACTCGACGCATTCCGCAGTGTCGACAGAAGGTGGAGTCGTCGGTGAGCGTCTTGTAGCAATGGACGCATGTTCCAAAGACATGCCTGGGTTCTTGTCGAGCATTCTACTTGAGTCAAACAAAGTTACCATAAGAAATCGCCATGTTATCTCCTGGTAAGTTTACTTAAAGATATCCAAACCCTAAACCCTAAACCGTGATCATATTAAGGAACCACATTACCTACCCTAAATCCCCAACCTTAGACCTTGGCTCATGAGGTCGGGAAATCCAAAGACTCCCAAACCCCTCATGTAAGGAATATACATCGAATCGTATTAGGGCTCGCATTATAATTTAAGGTATGTTCATATTCCTTAAGTAAGGGGTTTGGCAGTCTCCAGAATAAGACTTAGCAAGTATGGCTATTAATGCCCCTAGTTGGGGTGATTATAAGTATTTATAAGACTAATCCTAGCTACTCAGTTTCATGACCCTTTACAGCGGACCCCAGAAAGTTGGAACCTGGGTTTTCTAGAGGACTAGTGCTACGATCGCTTATGCTTTACCTCAAGGGCATGAGGATAACGATGCTCCAACTCTCTACCTTCTATTTTAAGCAGAGATAAGAGCGAGATAGTAAGTATGGCTATTCCCCCAATTGGGGTTACATGCTATGTAAGTATGTATAAGAATAATCCTATAGTTACTAAGCCTCATGGCCCTTTAAGTCGTAGAAATAAGAGTGAGATGCTGGGAGCCTGCAGGCTTCTTTGGCTCGGGCTTCTCCGCAACCACTGGAGCCGCAACCTGGGCTCTTCTTCTCAAGGACTTACTGGAAGTTGCCATGCGACAACAAGCGAAAGGCGAGAGAGAGAGAGAGAGAGATAGACGGATGGATGGATGGCTGGATGGATGGAGGGAGGGAGGGAGGGAGGCTATGCATAGATGCATATCATCGACATGTATATGTGTGTATAGGTAAAAAATACACATGGAACACAGCTTCGTTATTGCTTTAAAACAAACTATTCGAAGCTAAGATCCTTAACAAGAACCCAGCAGCAGGTGGAGGAGGTCCTTTGCCCTTTCCTTTGAAAGGCCCTTTGTTCTTGCCTTTTCCCTTGCCCTTGCCTTTGGCTTTGGCTTTCCCTTTGCTCAGTACGGCTGGCCCGGCACCTTCGCCCCAGATTTGCGCCCCATGAGCCTTGGCTTTGGCCACTTCCGTCTGCACATTGGGCATCTCGATCGTGACCTGCTGCGTCTGATAGGCCAGGAGCACATTCATCAGATCCTCCTTACTGATGGTACCAGAACCATCCCAATCCAAGTCTTCGAACCTCAGAACTTTCGGATCGTTGCTGCCCTTTGCTTGTACTTGCCGCACAAAGGAGCCACCGGCTGACCCAGCCTTACTTCCCCAATAAGCCAGGGGCAAAAAGGTTAAACATTCAGGCTACTACCAAACTATAAGAACCCAAAAAGTTTAAAAGTTGGATATTCAAGAACTCAGCAGCTGGGGCGGGCAGGCCGTTCACCGGGCGGCTGTCAATTGCGGCGCCGGTGGCGAGTAGGTTATCCTGAGCTTTGAAGTAATGAGGGAGAAAAAAGTATAAACTTGTATTTTACAATGGTTCCTTTAAGGAACAGGTCCCAAAAACAAGTATTAAAGTACGGTACTCCAAAGCCCAGTATCCGCCGCACGTGCATCCGGCAGCAGAACCCACTTACCCGAAGCAGCGCCAGGGGCAGCAGCTGCAGTCGCTTTGGAGGTCGCCGTACCACCACCTCATGCATAGCATAAGTGTAACAAGGAACTCTACGGAATAAGATATGCAGCTGTTTAGGCTTCTATATTAGGACCACCTCCTGCAGCTCCGGCTGGTGCTGGCTGTGTTGACGGTGCTGCTTCCCAGGGCATGCGCTGTTTCACAGGCTGCGCCTTCGGCAGAGAGCCTGCCTTGGCTACGCCAGCCTCGGTCTCCCACGGCATCCGCGCTTTGGAGGGCTCGCTTTTCGTAGCCACTGTGGTTGCTTTGGCAACCCCCGGCTGTGTCTCCCAAGGCATCCGCTGCTTCGCAGGTTCAGCCTGTGCCTATGCTGCAATTTTTTTTGGGGGGGGGTTTAAGAATATAGGTATCTCTCTTTCGGGCCAGGTTTAAGAATAGGCACCTCTTTTTCGAACCAGGTTTAAGAACAGGTATCTATTTTTCGGACCAGGTTTAAGAATAGGGACCTCTTTCTTTCTTGGACCCTAAACCCTAAACCCCTAAATCCTAAACCCCGAAGGTTTTAATTTATAACCTTCTGGGGTTTAGGATTTAGGGGTTTAGGGTTTAGGGTTTAGGGTTTAGGGTTTAGGGTTTAGGGTTTAGGGTTTAGGGTTTAGGGTCCAAGAAGGTTATAAAGTTTCCCAAAGTGCCAGCTAGCTGCCGCTGTTGGGACACTCTTGGCGACTCCGGGTTCGGCCTTTAGGGTTTAGGGGCTTAGGGATTTAGCGGTTTAGGGCTTTAAGGGGGTTGAGGGGTTGGTTTAGGGGTTTAGGGGTTTAGGGATTTAGGGGTTTAGGGCTTTAAGGGGGTTTAGGGGTTGAGGGGTTGGTTTAGGGGTTTAGGGGTTTAGGGCTTGAGGGGTTGGTTTAGGGGTTTAGGGGTTTAGGGATTTAGGGGTTTAGGGCTTTAAGGGGGTTTAGGGGTTGAGGGGTTGGTTTAGGGGTTTAGGGGTTTAGGGCTTGAGGGGTTGGTTTAGGGGTTT